TGGGATTCATTTTGGGGCTAATTGCCCAAACCGTTCAGGAATAAGGGGCCAAAAAGGTTCTAAAACAAGCATTTTTCTAGTTTTCAGACAATAACTTGTGTTTCAGTGTATGGATGTCTCTTAATTTGTACCACATTTTACATAAAGAAAATTTCTTCAAAATTAATTTTTTGGACAAAAAGGGGGGGGGGGGGGGCAATTTTTTTTCCTCAAAAAAAATTATCTTCAAATATTATTTTTTTTTGGAGGGGGGGTAATACTTTGTATATAGTCTGAAAACAGATTTACTAAGTATTGCGCAACAGCACAGTGTATTGCACAACAGCAAGAAATCTTCAATTGAATATAAATTCAAATCATACAACCAATTTCAAGTTCTTTGACTACATTTATTCTGTGTCAGAAACCTATAATATGTCAAATATTTAATTACAATCCAAAGTCAGACCTGTATCAAGCTTGAATATTGTGTCCATTTTTGCCCCAGCTGTTCAGGGTTGGACCTCTGCGGTTGTATCCAGCTGCGCTCGGCGAAGCAGTTTATTGAGAATAGTTTTTCTTAAAACAATATATCTTTCCTCATTGTGCAGTTTGTTTTAATAGAATCTAAAGTTGTTACTAATGTTAGTTTACAGCAAACAGAAAAACAAAAACTTATTTTCCCAGAAGCATAATATGACAAAGAAAGATTGTCAGAGTAGAAAGCATTAAATTTATGTATACATATAATCTTGTTTCCAAGGTAATATTTATATGGGTTTATAATGTTCAGGTAGCTAATGACATTTTTCTGTAATGAACATTTATTTTTAATAGGAAGTTTTGTTAGCCCGTTTCCAAGGTAATACCTTCCTATATCAAGGAATTAGAGGACTTCATTCATCCTGATAGGGATTATACAATGTTAAGTATTCCTTTAAATGGTATGAATTGTTCATTCATGAAATAAAGGTTATATTCATCAATGATGTTTGTGTGCTGATAAACACGGTTTTTCAAGTAGTTATATTTTGTTGGAACTTATTCCGTTACGTTTTTTTTTCAAAAAAATTGTGTCGTGGTTTGAAGGTGTGTGTTTAATGATAAGATCATTAATTATGTTTATTTAATGGGTAAGAAAGCATTGTCTATGTTGGATTTAGTTTCTGAAGTCTAACTAGAAGGAGATTACCAGACTGTGGATCAGAGCTTACTGCTAATGTATATATTTCTAAAATCTTATATAGCATCTTTTGTGTTATGGAGTTTTACAGCTAAGAATATGGAAATTTTAGAGTTGATATAATTTTTCTATTCTGTTATCAGATTTTTGCAATTAAGAAAATGGAATTTTCAATAATGTTTACAATTTTCCAGATCGTTGATTGTTCTCGATTTTTGTGGTTGCACTGATATAAAACTTCAGATGTGTTTACTTGAAAAATAGGTTGTTTATTTCTCCAGGGGATTTTGTAGGTAACAGCCTATTTGTAAAGTGAAATAATTGAATAAAAGAAACATTTCTAGCTAACAATCAATGCTGACATTGACATAATGGGAAAAATGAAATATTATGTCATTATGTTCCTGTAAAGATTCTATTCTGTAGAAGATTGTTCCTGTAAAGATTCTATTCCTGTAAAGATTCTATTCTGTAGAAGATTGTTCCCGTAGAGATTCTATTCTGTAGAAGATTGTTCCCGTAGAGATTCTATTCTGTAGAAGATTGTTCCTGTAAAGATTCTATTCTGTAGAAGATTGTTCCTGTAAAGATTCTATTCTGTAGAAGATTGTTCCCATAGAGATTCTATTCTGTAGAAGATTGTTCCTGTAAAGATTCTATTCCTGTAAAGATTCTATTCTGTAGAAGATTGTTCCCGTAAAGATTCTATGAAGATTGTTCCTGTAAAGATTCTATTCTGTAGAAGATTGTTCCCGTAAAGATTCTATTCTGTAGAAGATTGTTCCTGTAAAGATTCTATTCTGTAGAAGATTGTTCCCATAAAGATTCTATTCTGTAGAAGATTGTTCTGTAAAGATCCTATTCTGTAGAAGATTGTTCCCGTAAAGATTCTATTCTGTAGAAGATTGTTCCCGTAAAGATTCTATTCTGTAGAAGATTGTTCCCGTAAAGATTCTATTCTGTAGAAGATTGTTCCCGTAAAGATCCTATTCTGTAGAAGATTGTTCCCGTAAAGATCCTATTCTGTAGAAGATTGTTCCCGTAAAGATTCTATTCTGTAGAAGATTGTTCCCGTAAAGATTCTATTCTGTAGAAGATTGTTCCGGTAAAGATTCTATTCTGTAGAAGATTGTTCCCGTAAAGATCCTATTCTGTAGAAGATTGTTCCCGTAAAGATCCTATTCTGTAGAAGATTGTTCCCATAAACATTCTATTCTGTAGAAGATTGTTCCCGTAAACATTCTATTCTGTAGAAGATTGTTCCCGTAAAGATCCTATTCTGTAGAAGATTGTTCCCGTAAAGATTCTATTCTGTAGAAGATTGTTCCCGTAAAGATTCTATTCTGTAGAAGATTGTTCCTGTAAAGATCCTATTCTGTAGAAGATTGTTTTTCACATTCCTATCTTGGTACAGGTATTTCCTTATGTAGAAAATGGTAAATAAAACCTTGTTTTATAGCTAGCTAAACCTCTCACTTGTATGACAGATTACTGGAACAACATATGTCTCCCTGTTGAAGAAACAAAAGGAACAACATTTGTCAGTTAAACAAAAAGGAGATTTGCAGAGGAGAGGTTTGCAAAGATACCAAAATTTAAACATTTCATTAGAACTTAAATGACTGACATACAAGAATGATGTTTTGGCATCTGTAAATTGAGACTGATTCAGCCCGCATATTTTATTTACAGAGTACCTGTACCCAGTCATGAATTGTCCAATTATAGCCCTTAGCAGATATTTCCGCTTGAACTGACTAGTAATATTATATGGACATCATTTTAGAACAGCTACTATTGTCCATAATCTACTACAAGGATATAAACTTACTTACAGCTGAACAAACAAAGCTGTTGCAGGACAGGTCTTGGTTATCATTGTGTCAGGTACAACATGAATATACATTGAACAGTAATCACTGGAGGTCAGATTTCAAGTTGGATGAATTACTGAATAATTAGTGGATGTAGACTACCCCCAATAAGTTTTCCTTAATTATCACCTTGCTTAGATAATACATTACTTTTGATGAAGGGGTTTGATCTGTCCCTCAGTTAAATGGAAAGATTGTTATGCGATGTAGTGAGAATTTTTTTTATTTTCATGACAGCAAAAAAACATTGGGAGAAATTTGCAGGTTTTACATTTTTTTTTAGCTTTCTGTCCTGTGTGTGGCATTTAAAGATATTGATTTCATTCAATGAAATTTAATTTGTGGAATTTAAACCTTGGTGTTTTAAATTATGAATTATTTAGCAACAATTAAAGCAAAGAAATGGATGTCATTTATGCTGCATTGATTTTGTAGTATCTCTGGCCTCTATGATGAATGGCATTTTTCAGATGAATCAAGACTCGAAAGGAATAAGCTTTTCTGGATAAGAACTCATGAATAAATCTAAAAATTAGGATAGCAGCTGTATTTTCCATTAAGCTTTAAAATTACATGTCAGAGGCTTGTATAATATTGACCAAATAGGTATTAGACAGTATAGTCTCATGAATAAATTGGACAAAATTAGAAACTATTGAACTTTTGGAATTATCTATTGATATTGGCTGTTTAATTAAATTGATGATATCACCTATTACAGACAAATGGACAAACGGTGGAAGTAAAAGGTGAAATGTCCTTGGAATTACTATAGTCTGTATCAGTCTGAGGCTTTATAATAGGGTTATGGCAGTTAAAAGTGTACTTTAAGATGCCACAGAACCTGTTGATCATGAGAATATTTGATTAGAATAACCTGCAGAACTGAAAGATCAGCTGGTACCATATAACATCCTAGATATTGACCTTCAGATGTTTATAATTTTCTGCTACAGTTGACAAGGTTATGAATCATCTTCCATCAATCTTTGACTAAAGAGATAGGGATATGTATTGTATATGATAACATTGAAGGGATGTGTATTGGGGAATGACATTGAAGGGATGTGTATTGGGGAATAACATTGAAGGGATGTGTATTGGGGAATAACATTGAAGGATGTGTATTGCTCAGAATGATATTAGATTGGTGAGAAAGGATTAAAATTTGTTACTCAGAATGTCAGTTTCAAGAGGATTTGTTTATTTTATGAAGTTTCTACCATCATGTGGTAGGTGTTAGTTTACAAATATTCCTGGGAATTAGGATTTGAAAAGTGCAAATTTATACTACAAATTGAAAAATTAGTTTTGGTGTTTGAAAAGGTGTAAGGAACTTTAGTGAGAAAAATATTTTATTGGTAAGGAAGAAATTTTTTAGACTTTTAATTTTTTTTTTTAATATAATTGTTTATCATATGTTGATATCAAAACAAATTCTGATACACCGGATACATGTGTTTATCTTTTAAATTAATTTTTATTGAATAGTTAACTTTTTTTGTTTTGACCCTATTAATTTTAATAAGGTGCAGACTACACTATACCTTTGTTTAAGATGGCAATGACTAAATACCTGTTAATTTATTTACATGGTGGTTTTACCAGGCATAATTTACAGGTGTGCTTGACTAAGGTTTGTGGTGGTCATTTCGAAAAGTAATTTACTATTCCACAAATTACATGTGCAATATATGTGTTATTAGAAATACTGCAGCATTTGAAATTTATCATTTTTTTGTTTAAAGGTCATATGTATACCTGTGTATAGAAAAACAAACAGAATTTATAAAACCAATTAACTTTTATCCTACATTTTATGGACTTTAAAGAGAATTTATAAAGATTTACACACTCCTGTTGTTTAACATTGAACAGAATAAATTACATGTTGATGACTGCATACTTCAGGAGTTTATTTGTTTTACAGAAAGGTATCTTAACATTCGTTTTAACAATTTTTGCCAAAATTAATGTAAAGTTAAAAAATAATAAATTCTACTATATGTGATGGGATAATATGATTGTGGACAAACTGCACGTAAAAGGAAGTTGGATTATATCGTAAGGAAAATAATGTATCATAATGAAACAGTAGTTAATTGTTTAAAGAATAGAGTTAGGAAATAATGAATTGTGATGTACTGTTTTGTGATTTCTTCATAATTCTTATGTACTTTGATGACATAGGGGATATAAGGAAGAGTAACGATGCTGTAATAGACTCTGGACTTCAAACAATGAACTAGCTTTGTGCAAAGTCCCTGTGGAACTAATATATATGTGAGGGAAAATAGACTTAAAATCTTTTTTTGAGTGAGAGCTAAGCATCTTGTACATGACACTTTTGAGGTCATTTTAATTTGCAAGTTGTAAAGAAGACATAACATTGACTTTGACATGAAACAAAGAAAAGGATCGTACAACATCAACATGCCGGGAAGGAAATATGAAGTTGAAAATCATTCCAAATATTGGAAAAGTCTCTGCTGCTGGTCTGTGCAAGATACTAAAGAACAGTAAGTATATTACCTGTATATTGTGGACAGTTCTGTTTAGACAGGTTGTCATTGTACTTTGTAGAATAATTTACCATATTGTCTTTGCTTTCCCCTTTTTTAATAGGAAATGTTTCCAAGAGAATAATAATTCTGTCATTAAAAGCTTTAGTCTTGACTTTTGTAGAAATAGACATAGATTATCTTTGGATTTGTGTCTCTCACTAATGACTATTCTTCACATTTCCTCTGGGTCCTCAATGCTCTTCAACTTCATACTTTACTTGGCCTTTTGAACTTTTTTGATTCGAGCATCACTGACGATTCTTTTGTAAATGAAACGCGTGACTGGCTTACCAAATTTTGATCTCATATCCATGATGAGTTTGTTAGGACTGTATTTAAGATGTTTCCGTGAGGATTTATTTTAGGTCATGAAGCTCAGACTTTAAAAGTCAAACTTCATTCAGAACCTTGATTTTAATAGGCTCGTTTATGAAGGGAGTTTATCTGAACCCTTCAAAACTCCTCCTCACCCGGCTACAGGTATGTCCTTTTACTAATATGAAGAGGCAGTACTTGTGTTAACTTACAGCGGACCGGTATTAATTTAAGAATATAGGTATAATACTCCAGCAAATTAATTTTGTATATTTTAGTTAATAATTGCACATTAAAACGTACCTCATCATCAAAACTCCTAAGTGCTTGGTTTAATTAAAAGCCATATATTTAGTAATTTTTTGGAAATGATGCATGCACCTCAATATATTGATGCAGTTATGATTAAAATTTATGTTCTGAGAGTTATCTCCCTGTAACAATTCATATATCTAAACTGCACTCCCAAGATTTATATCATTGACTTCTATCAATAAGGATGGGGTATTTTTGACAGTTTCAACTTATTAAAAAGTGTGTTCCTAAGGCTAGTGATGTACCAATTATTCATTATAATTGAAAATCAATAAAAGTGAAATATATCTTAAAAAATGTTATTTTTGTTACTGAAACTTTTTGACAGTTATAACTTAGTTATAACTTTGTAAAAAGTGTGTTCATATTAAAGGCTTAAGTGATGTACCGATTATTGGTTATAATCGAAAATCAATCGCTAATTGAAAATTTTTGATTAATCTATTATAATTTTCAAGAATTGAAAATCAATAACAGTCACCCTAAGTTCCTGGTGGGGTTTGTGTTGCTCCATCTTCGTTAGCCAAGGGTTACGCTTGACCAGCGAAGATGGATCTCAATCTTTAGCTTTCCATGTTATGTTTTGTGTACTGTTGTTTGTCTGTTTATCTTTTTCTTTTTTAGCCATGGCATTGTCAGTTTATTTTCGACTTATGAGTTTGAATGTCACTTTGGTATCTTTTGCCTCTCTTTTAAGTGATGTACCGATTATTGGTTCAATAATCGAAAATGAATTGCTAATTGAAAATTTATGATTAATCGATTATAATTTTCAATAATTGAAAATCAATAAAAGTGTAAAATATTGATCAAATGATATTTTTTTTACTGAAACTTTTTGACAGTTATAATTAAATAAAAGTGTGTTCATAAGGCTTGTGATGTATTACTTATATATTGGCTAGAATAAAATACCAACCACTGATTGAAAAGTTTAGATTAAAGGATTATGATTTTAAATAATTGAAAAATCGTTAAAAGTGAAAAATATTTATTTGTATGTAATGTTATTTTTTGTTGCTGAAACTTTATGGGTTTTCCTCATTGTTGAAGGTTAAGAAGAAAAGAAAATGTTCAGTATTGTTCATAAATTCTTCAGGCTAGTTAGGTTTTCTTTAGTTTGGTTTATGTTCAAATTTTGCCTCAGTAGACCACGCTTGTCATAAATTGAAGTGAAGTTTAGTATAATATGAGATTCTTTCATGACCCCAAAAAATAGTCAATAGTGCTGAAAGTGGTGTTCGACACCAATAAATAAATCAATCAGTCATTAATTGAAGTACAATGAAATATAATATGATTGTGTATATTAATTCTGATAATGTTCTGTTTTAATTTGGTCCAAGCAAAGTTGAAGAATTTGATACAAAGCTTGTGTTCTGTCTAGACAGATAAATGGTTTTATTGTAACTTGAAAGTCTGGAAAGGGAGATAACTGTTGTCATCTCATACCATATGTATGATCTGTAATTAATTAGTGAAATCAAGGTTAATTACCATCATGTCGTCAGAGAAGTGTGTCAGACAGTGGTAAATGTCATATTGTGTTTATTGATCAAAACATCACCAGGTGTTATACAGACCAAACTATTTACATGTACTAGCATTCTGAGAATATTGCTTGGCAATACAAAGCCCCCTACCGGTTAAAAATTGATTGTACTGGAACAAAATGCTAACTTGATCTATAACTTTTCATGGTGTAAACGTTTTAACAAATATCAAGTCAATATCTTCAAGCATGATGAAAAAAAGTGAGGAAAACTGATTGTTTGAGTGAATTTTCAAAGTCCAAGGACCTTAACTCTGCACAAAATCATCAAATTGGAACAAAATTTGAACTTGATCTGTAACTTGTCATGATAAAATTATATATAAATTATCAAATAAATATCTTCAAGCATGATGAAAAAAAGTGAGGAAAACTGATTATTTGAGTGAATTTTCTAAGTCCAAGGACCATAACTCTGCACAAAATCATCAGACCAGAACAAACTTCGAAACAGGTGAACCACAAATTTAAATGTTCAACGAAGTGCAAATTTTCTATAGGGTTGTATGCAGACTTTGGCAAAACCATGAAATCAAATATCCACGAAAATGCAGGTTTTCATCAATCCACGAAAATTGGTATCCATGAAAATAAATGAATCCACAGTATTACAGATTTTTCCTTGTAGAAGTACTTTAACGTTATCATGGAATGGTCTGTCAGTGTGAAACTAAAATAGATACCAGGTACTAGGTATAATGTCCAATGCTAATAATGATAGATTTGTTTATAGATATATTGAAAAAAATTTACTTACATTATAGCCACACGACGGGTGCCACATATGGAGCAGGATCTGCTTATCCTTCCGGAGCACCTGAGATCACCCCTGGTTTATGGTGGGTTTCATGTTGCTCAGTCTTTTGGTCTTTTTCTTTTTTTGCCATGGCATTGTCAGTTTATTTTCGACTTATAAAGTTTGAATGTCCCTCTGGTATCTTTTGCCTCTCTTTTACATGATAATTATACTTTAGTTCTAAAAACTGTCATTATTTAGTTCACCATGAATTAGTTCTGAGTTTGAAATTTCTGTCTGTTGCAGTAAGATTTGCAAACTTTAAATGATAACTAAACTCTTATTTAATGATTTGAACAATTTTAAACATTTCAAATAAACAAAACATGCTGTAAAAAAAAAAACCTTTAAAACATTGCTACCATTTCTTTAAGGCAATAAATGCTGTATGAGATATTTTTTGGTTCTAAATGGTTTATAAAAAGTCTGGCAATATAAAATATTACTATTCAAATCTGGGACTAATAGATTTTTAAATTATTAGTCCAAACTCCAATTGATTAATTCATTTAGGAGCTACACAGGCAAAATTTGCTCACCTGAATTTCACATGTGAAATTTACAAAAAAAATGGTATTTTTCATGGTTTAAATTAAATTTTGAAATTTAGATATTATTTGAATAACTTTATTTTGAAAATTCATGTGAATATCATGTGACAAAAAATCATGTGATTTTTATGTTAAATTCATGTGAGTTTCACGGGTAAGCTCGTTTGAGGTGAAATTCACGTGAAAAAAATTCCCTGTGTAGAAGCTGGGACTATTATACTAGTATAATAGTCCCATGTAGAAGTCAATCATTTGAGATTAAGACGAATAACATTCAATAAAATCATGTGATAGAGCTATCTAAAGAAAATATATAAGTTTCATCAACTTAATCTTTTAGAGCAAGAATTAGACTGATGACCTTCAAATTCATGAGAAATCAGTCTTTTCTTTCTTAGATTCTATTTATAGTTATTACTACAAGTTAAATAATCAAATCAAATCAAATGATTGTATTGGTGTAAATTCCAATACAGGAATGATACCAGCTGACATTTACAAAATACAAATACAAAAAATAGACAAAAATAAACAAAAACAAATATACAGAGACATATTTTCTCAATGATAAGAGACACATATTTTATATCTACATTGCATGGAGGTGTTATTCATACTATATTATTAATTCAAGCCATTACAATAAGCTTTTCTTAACAACATTATGTTTGCTTTAAATGAATGTTCGAATCATACATATCGCTTATTCCAGCTACACATGTCAGTATCATTATTTTTCAAAATGAAACTAAATTTATCTTGTTCAGACATATTAACAAAAGATGGAACTATATCACTTAAATTACAAAAGAGTATATTTCTATTAAATTCTAACGCTAAATAATGAGTACACTGTACACATGAAGAAATTTGAATCTGATTAAAATTAGACATCAGTTAAAGGGAAGCAACTCTGTCTAAAAATATTTACTTGAGTTCTGCTATGTTGCCCTCTGGATATTTTTTCCTAGTTTTGATGTGTTTTAAGGTTGCTGTCCTACTTAAATACTTATTTTTTTTATCATTATTAACAAACATATCTATGAAATAGTAAGTCTCAGATAAAGCTTATCTATAAATAGTCTTCAACTTTAAGAAGCTAATCTATAAATAGTGTTAAAAGAAGCTAATCCTACTAAATTCATGTTTTTTTTAAATCTTGTTAAAATTAACTGACTTATGGAAATTAACTAAAACTTAATTTCATGGATTTTCTATTTCTTGTTTATCTAAGTCAACTTTTCTGTGATTTATTTTCAATACGTTCTAATTTTCTTGAGATCCAAGTTTTACATATTAGCAAACATTTATATTTGTGTTATTTTCCTACTGGTTTAAGTCCCGAAAATTAGTTGGTTTATAGTTGTGTGTGGGGTAGTCGTCAGTAGACAGCCTCTAACTTGGTCTGAAAAACTTTCTGTATGTG